TCAATCCAATAAAAAAATTTTGATCTCCAGTTACTGTAAGTTATGATCTTTCTGAAAGTCTTGAGAGGTGAAGCAGGCTAGCCCTGAAGATGCTTATCCACATGAAATCCCCCTGAATCACTGAAAGACCACAACCAGTGCTTGGCCCGCAAACCCAGTGGATCTGGGGGAGCCCCCTGCAGGGTTTAGAATAGTAACTCCTCCTGGACACACGTCTTTCTTCTCCCAGTATGGTAAGGGGAGAAATGTTCCATTTGGGTGGGGGCTGGCTGAGTTCAAAGCGTCCCCTCTCCATTATGTTATTTCTAACGATAAATTCCAAGTTATCAAGCCACATCTTCGACTTACACGGGCCCTCGATCCTTTTCCTATCATCTAATTCTTGGTTCTAAGTAATGTATTATTTCCAGTGAATTCAGTCAGTCATCACAAGCCTTGCCTCTCTGTTTCATCCACATAAGTGGTATGTATTCACTAAAGGCAGGAAGCTACTCTTTAATTTTGGTAATTTATCCTTGTCATCCCAGCTGAATGGTCTTGACCTCGTGAGTTCTGAATTCCGTCACTATTATAGTCACTCCCCACAGTTTGTGTACCTCTCCATTTACATTTCTCCTCTTTCTTCTAGTCCCCGAGAAAGAGCTGCTCCGGCCTGTGCTGTGCTGGGCCTTGTCTCTCCTTCACTCACCTTTCTCCACAGCCCATTTCATTAGCTGCCCTCCTTTCCTTCCATCTTGAATCCCTGTCTCATCAGGTTCTTATCTTTAAGTCTGTTAATCTGTAGAGGGCCCCAAAACAGCTTCCTGCAGACCCTACCCAGTGGGGCCTGCATCTAAGGGGAAATACCTGACATTCCAAACATTCCCTATACCCCTAGACAAATGTCAGCCAAATGGTCCTGAACCCTGGAAATCCCCTCACCCTAACCTCTGCCATGATTAAAAAAAAAAAAATCCTGCCTGGGCTGGGGGCTCTCTGCTCTCACTGCTGCGTCGCATGGACAAAGGGACCAAGCTCAGAACTTGATTATATGTGGGATTCAGTCTCCATGGTGGTCTTTAGGGGGTCCCCACGATCTGAGCATAACAATTCCACTACTGTCCTAACTATCTCCTTCCTTTTCCCTGCCCTTTCTTACTTACTGGAAAACCATGATGAATATTCTCTCTGTCCTTCCCCAGTTCTTTCTTGGTACATTAGTCTGGCTTCCCATCAAGGTCAGGTAAGGAAAAGAGTGGAGGAGCAGATGTGCCTCCATTTTGCTTTCTCTTTAACAAAAGTCTGTCCGGTGTTTGACCATACTCCTAGCCATGTATTTATTCCCATATATTTGTAAATATATACATAGATACAGTCATTGGCTTGTATCTCCAAATATGCAGTGGGATTTGTCCTTAGTATGCTAGACATAAACCCACACTTCGAATGGCTTTTAAAAAATGTAATGAAGCTGATAGACAGTCCATACTTGGAGTAAAACATGGCTGCCCTGCTGCCTGCTTTCTGTTTGCTTGTGCTTTTATTACAGAGATTTGTCTTCCAAGTACAGTGTCTTTGCAGGAATCAAAGTAACTTAGGTGAATTTACAGGTTTTAGCACAACAATGCATGTAACACAGGGTTCTTAATAAGTACTTATTATTCGGCTGAAGGAATATGCATTAGCACTTAGGTATTTTTGTGTTTTAAACAAAAAAGGATGAAACGGGAATCTAGGGTGCTATGAGAACTCAGAAAGGCTGCTGAGGTGAGGTCTGTGTCACTGTGTAGAAATGACCCGCCCTGGGAAATGAGATAGCCCTGAGCCAGCAGAAATGCACGGAGAAGAATAGATACCACCTACTGTAGAAGGAAGGCTGAGCGTGATTAGTGAGGAAGTCGTCAAAAACGGGAGAAAGCGAACACAGGCTGGTCTTCTTAACACCTTCGTGTTCTGCATCAGTGGTACGGCATGAGGCCCTGGGCCCAGAAGAAAGAAGGAAGGAAGGAGGAGAGGAAGAAAGGAAAGGGAGCGATGATGGAAGAGGAGATGGGAGGGAGGAAGAGAGGAATTAATACACCCTTGCTGGTTTTCAGTTAGGAGAAAGCTCTTAACTACTGTGATCAAAATAAAATCAGCTTCTCTCGGGGCCAGGAGACCTGCGGTGGAGCTCAGCAGTGCCCCGCTAGCTATTTTTTTTATTTTCTATCCACACTAATGTACATCTCAAGAGGTTCAGTGTGGCGGGGCGGTGGTGGCACACACCTTTATTCCCAGCACTCGGGAGGCAGAGGCAGGCAGATCTTTGTGAGTTCGAGGCCAGCCTGGGCTACAGAGCGAGATCCAGGAAAGGTGCAAAGCTACACAGAGAAACCCTGTCTCGAAAACAAACAACAAACAAACAACAAAAAAAAAAGAGATTCAGTGTGATAATGATACAGCATGCGCTGATCACATCCAACCTCTCTTTATCTACCCCGCCCCCATTATGGTCATTCTTAGTAGCTGGGTTGTCTCTACTTTTCCTTTTACAGCATATTACTCCATCTGCTGCTGAACTGGCAGTCCAAAGGTATACAGTGGTCCAGAAACTATTCTTCAAAGGAACATGGGTTCATCAAATCAGAATGTGGGGAAGTTCTAGAGCCATATTAAAAAACAATACACAGGGCAGGGACACAGCCCAGGCAGTAAAGTGCAGTTGTGAGTTACAGTTTCTGTCTGAGTCCGATCTGCAGAACTCACCCGGAAGGAAGGGTGGTTCCTGGAGGTGGGGTTACAGGGTTATTTTGAACTCCTCTCAATTCTTGCTTCGTGTGCCACACACACACACACACACACACACACACGCACACCTACTTATCCTCTGCCCCCCACATGTGCATGGCAACATTCGTCCACAGATCTAAAATAGATAGATGGACGGGCGGGCGGGCGGGCGGACGGACGGACGGACGGACAGACAGACAGACAGACAGATAGGTAGGTAGGTAGGTAGATGTAATAAAGGTATTTTGTGCAACTTGTGTATACAGACTTACTTATGTGACCTAATTTATTTAGCTTGTGTTTTATGCAACTTTTTTTTGAAGATTTTGGCCGGCAAAGAGGAAGACGGAGAGGTAACGGGGTTGCTGGGAACTGAACGCTTTTCACTTTGGTTGTGAGCCTTAGGCCACTAACCAGCCATTTCTCTAACAGTGGTTTTAATGATTTTCTACCTTCGTTAGAAATAAAAGCTGCAAGAGTCTATTTGTACCACAAGGTGTCAGCCCAGGATAATTTAATCTTCAGAGGCCTTTTTTTTTACACTATCTGAAGTCAATGATTCAAAAAAATTATACAGGGAGCCTTAAAACGTGCAGCACAGTGAGGCATGGTGGTGCCGGCCTTTAAATCCCAGTGCTCAAGAGGCAGAGGCAGGCGGGTCTCTGTAAACCCAGGGCTACATTAAAAACAGTACACAGGGCGGAGACACAGCTCTGTTGGTAAAGTGGGGTTGTTTCCTCCACTTGTGAGTTACAGTTTCTGAAGTCTGAGTTCAGGCTGCAGGACTCAGCGGTGGAAGGAAGGATAGTCCCTGTCGTCGGAGTTACAGGGTCATGTTGAACTCAACTTTTTCTTCTTGTGGCCCCACCACACACACACACACACACACACACACACACACACACACACACACACACCTAGCTATCCTCGGACCTCCACATGTGTACTGGAACATTCTTTCACAAACCTGCAATGAATGAATGAATGAATGAATGAATGAACAAACAAATCAATCAATCAATGGTGTACATAGAGAGTTCCAGGCCAGCCAGAGTTCACTATAACATCCCTTCACATATCTGCAATGAATGAATGAATAAACAAACAAACAAATCAATCATTCAATCAATGGTGTACACAGAGAGTTCCAGGCCAGCCAGAGTTCACTATAACATTCCTTCACATATCTGCAATGAATGAATGAATAAACAACAAACAAATCAATCATTCAATCAATGGTGTACACAGAGAGTTCCAGGCCAGCCAGAGTTCACTGTAACGTTCTTTCACATACCTGGAATGAATGAATGAATGAACGAACAAACAAACAAATCAATCAATGGTGTACATAGAGAGTTCCAGGCCAGAGTTCACTGTAACATTCTTTCACATACCTGCAATGAATGAATGAATGAATGAATGAATGAATGAACAAACAAATCAATCAATCAATGGTGTACATGGCGAGTTCCAGGCCAGTCAGAGCTCACTGTAGCATTCTTTCACATACCTGGAATGAATGAATGAATGAATGAATGAACGAACGAACAAACAAATCAGTCAATCAATCAATGGTGTACATAGAGAGTTCCAGACCAGAGTTCACTGTAGCATTCTTTCACATACCTACAATGAGTGAATGAATGAATGAGCGAACGAACAAATATATAAACAAATGGTGTACATAGCGAGTTCCAGGCCACCCAGAGTTCATAGCGAGATCTTGTCTCAGAGGAAATAAAATAATGAAACCAAACACGCAGTGTTTGGCGCCCTGCGAATAAAGGATAGTCACGGAAAATGCGGCTGGGGGTTTGCTTTTCTTTACATTTCCTAACCAGACTGGTTCTGGGAATGCTGTGCACAAAATTCCCGAGATGTTGCAATTGAGAACTTAGTAATTACCGAGTCTGCTTCCATTTCAGAGGAGTAGATCCCCGCTGACATTTTCTCCTGCTGAAACTTTCAAATACTGGCGGTAACTTTCTTTCTGGTTCCTAACACTTGATTGATCGGGGAAGCTGCAGTTAATCCGGGAAGCTGAGGCGGGCAGGAGTAAACTCGGGGTGAAAGTCACTCGCAAACGCAGATTCATTCTCTGTACTAACAGCTAGTTCTCGGAGAAACTGCTTCGCCGGAAGAGCGATACACTGCGGCTGCAGACCCGGGATCACGCTCGTCACCCGGGAACCGGCGAGATCCACCCCTCCAGATTCCATCCACCCCCGCAGTCGGTTTTCAGTGAGCCCTGCGGGTGACTCCGCTTCACGCTGTGCAGTCCGGGAGCGCGGCCGTGAAGGGCTCGCCCCCCGACCCCAGCCGGCTCAGGCGCAGGACCAGCCCACGCCGCTGGGGGCGCCCCACCCACGGCCGCCCTAGCGACCCCAGGTGAGCGGGAGCCGGCCGCCGGCAGGGGGCGCTGTGCGAGCGGCGGCCGAGGGGCGGGGTCTGCGGAGCGGGCTGCGTGCGAGCTGCGAGCAAAAGGCTCCGCGTGGGCTGCGAGTCCCAGCCGCGGCTCGCCGTCGGGTCCCACGGAGGAGCGGGTGAGTCGCTCGTGGGGTTCGCAGGCCACTTGCTCCCCGCCTCTGCGGGCCCTGGGAAACAACTGTGCGGGCCTGGGAGGGGTGGCCGCGAGCCGGGGGCGGTGCTGGGGGCAGCGCAGCTCGGAGCGGCCCTGGGGGGTGGGGTGGGAGAGGCGGGGAGCAGGTCTCGGGGGAGCAGGTCTCCGAGGCGCTAGGGCGTCAAGTTTGCAGTAAGATTGGGTTCCGATGGTAAGTTTGCCAACTTGGCCAAGTGTCCTCAAGTTTGCATCGCTTGATGAATGGCTGGTACCTTGTCGTGCTATTTGTTTGGGCTTCTGGTTTCCTAGTTAGTGGAATTTTTCATTTTAAGTCCTTGGAACACCGGTCCTAGTCTTTTCGGGATCTGGGTGGGATCAAGGCTTTTAAATAAGTTGCTCTGGTGAAATCAACTGACTGGCATTTGTAGACATAGAATTTAAGTACACTTCGAATTTGGTTATGCCGTTCAGTTGGAGTGAGGATGTGTCCACATCCCAATATTTAATCAGGGGAATTTATTTATCATTAATGTTCAGCACAATGCTTTTAGAATCAGCACCGGGAAGAACACCATCTCCTCTCCCAATAATTGAGTGTAGCAAAGCAAAAATACACTTGAAAGTGCCCAAGATGGGCCAGACACTGCAACCCACAATGTATTCCAGTCATTGGGTTTCTTGGATTCTAAACTCCTGGCCATAAACATGAGTCAGTTGGGCTGTGTCAATATTTAGCAAGAACAGCAAGCCAGCCATCCTTGTCCAGCAAAACAGAAATCATGTCAGAATCTATGCTTCGCTTTTTAATAGGGAAGAGTTGGTGAGTACTGGGTCAAATCCTGAGTTCCTGACATCCTTACACTGTGCTGTCTCCTGCTGGCTATGATGAGCAGGCGGTCAGATGGAACCTTTTCTCCTGTAGAACTTCAATCATATGTTTACCTAACGTCTAATGGGAGCCAGCGTATTTTACTTAACTGATATTTTGTTTTCCTGGTTTCTGGGCACGCAGTCAACAATCACCCTTACTGACATGGGCGTTTTTCCTCACTCCTCAGCATGGTACCACGCAAACAAATGGCTGGGCGCCTCTTCCGGCCCTCTGGCTTTCTACCCAGAGTCTCTGTGTATTGGTTCTCTGTCAGCAAGCACTGGCAACTTGCTCTATGTCCCAGGACTGGGTATAGAAGAGAGTTCTCATCCGTTTTCTCTGCTCCCTTTCCTGAGCCACCATCCATCTACAAACCATTGTCCTTTTAGATGCACGGTATTACCACACAGTTCTTGTTGGAGTCTTTGCCTGTCCTCACCTAAAAGGTTTTTGAGTACAGACATCTCATTTAACTTTGTTTTCCCCGTGTCTGACACCATTGTTCACGGTGTGTTTAATGAATTAACAGTGAGCAGCTATAGAGTTATATATCACTCTCTTTACCATACTGAACCGCCAGAGCTAAAATACAGTCTAAACTTAGTAAGTTGATTCCTGTGTTTTATTACATGCATGCTACTACTCTATTCCTAGACACCCCTCCCAAACTACCCTCTTTATAATATTGGTTAAAATTGCCAAATGACATGAAATAATGTTTTTGGGAGACTATCAACCCCTCCAGGGCAGGCAGGCATGAAGTCTCATTCTTTTTCCTCTTTAGTATCTATGTGGGCTTGGCCTTGTAAGTGCTTGTTGAATGGCATACACTTTACCCAGAATTCTTTCAAATGACAATGGTCAACACCCAATGCAAACAAACCAAAAGGAAAGTATTAACTATGTAATTGAGAAATCCAAGGTCTGGTCTCAGGTACATTAAGTACTTAAACTATTGCCACCAGGGCTTGTCCTTCTTTATTTCTTGTTTGGTTTTTGTGTATCAGCGTTCTTGTGTTCAAATGAAGAAGTCTTCCAGCTTACACAGGGGGTGGCATGGTAGTTTTATATCACCCTAACTTAGCGACATGTGAAGGGTATCGCTTCATTCTCTGCCACTTGGAGATGACATCAGAAGAAAAGGACTTAACTTCCACGTAGACTTGGCTGCCATCCTAAGCTGCTCAGTGTGATCACAGGAATTAACTGTGGATGGCCAAGCCTGGGTCATCTTCCCACAACCAGAGGATCAATGTTACACGGGCCAATCAAAGCAGTAAATACAGCCTTGTGTATCATATAAATCAAAAGATGCTTAGAACCAGAAATATTTTGTTGGGTTTTTTTTTTAATAGTCACATAAGCGCAATAAGATACTGTGAGGATAGATGCAAATTTGAACAGGAAGCTCATTCAGGTTTCATATACACTTCATATGCATATGCTTGGCCTGAGGATGACTTTCACTTACTGCTGGGTGTGGTGATGCACACCTCTAATGCCAGCATGCAGGAGGCAGGGGCAGGAGGCTGTCTGAGTTTGAGTCCTGCTCTACATCGCAAGTTCCAGGTGAGCTAGAACTGTATACTGAGACGCTGTCTAAAAAGGATACAATGTAATGTATTTACTGTACCTGGAATTTCAGTGCATACCCTCACATGAGGTCATGCATGGAATTTTCCACTTGTGTTACCATGTCAAGACTCCAGTTTTGCACTTTGGAGCAATTTTGTGGTTTTCACATGAGGGATGTTCAACCTATATTCTCATCCTGAATGTTTCAAAATAGGTAATTCTGTAAATTTTTCCTAAAGCACCTTAACCAAAAAAAAATGTTGGTGTTAGGGAAAGGTGTCTCCTCTATTCTTTGTGAAGTCCTGACCTTTAAAACTTAGAAAGTATTCTAAGCATTACAACCTATTCCTGGAAATAATTTCCCACTTAATAAAATATTACAGGTGGTCCAAACTTCCAAAGTATTTGGGATGTTTTCCACCAACATAACTGTTGTGTGTTTAACTTGTTTTTGTCTTTCATTTGACAAAGCACAAAGGCAGGTGTGATCCTTTAGGAGTGAATTTAGAGCTCGCTCAAAACAATGAATAAGATGACATCCTGTTCCTCCCGAATAAAAAGGGCTAAAACCAAGCCTGGGTTGGGCTCTGTGAAAGCCCTTAAGGAGCAGTTTTCCTTGTTTGGGGAAGTGTTTTGACCAGCTTCTTCATGAGGTTGACTAAAAAAGTGGGCATGTCAGTGACTGAGCACAACTCAGCACCCCATTGGAAGTAGATGAGCAGCCATGTTTTACCAGCAGGACTTGTCAAAAGGACAGTCTGGCAATACAGCCTTTTAGCCCTTGAAGCAACTATTGGGATTCACCTTAATAATCATGTCTCCTCTGTTCACTGCCTTCAGGAACTTTTCAGCTTACAAATCAGTTTATTATTGTTTGAGATTCCATCATCAACCCCAGGCGTCTACAAAACATGTATTTTCCTGAAATTCTGTATCAGTTACCTCAGGCCTCCACTGAGAGTATCATTACTCAAAACTAAAAACTGCATTCCTAATTCCATTTACCTTTAAGGGGAGTGGGCTTCCTTCTAACTGAGAATCTGGAGTTAAATCTTCCTGAAGTTAAAAAATGACAGCTAATCTTTATGTTTCATATAGATACAGGTCATTTGTTGGACAAATAGTTGGCGTTAAGGCACTGGTTTGCCACTCTCTAAATGTACAGGTTATCCACTATCTGATTCTTAATTGCACCTATCTTCTCTCTCTCTAAAGTGAATAAATACTTTATATTATTCCATCAAACAATAGCATCATAAATGGAATAGACTGTTTTATTTTCAAGGTGACTGAAGCCATTCATGGAGATCAGTAAAGATACTACAAACCAAGAGGAACTTTGGAAAATGAAGCCTAAGAAAGATCTGGAAGATGACAGTTACTCGGTAAAATAATGACTCTGATGGCTAATAATTAAAATCCATACACACTTCAAGTGTATTCTGAATCTACTAGTATTGAGAATGTGCATTCCATTCTAGTCTGCTGAGCTCTTCGCTCGGATGCCTGTGGCTGAAGCCGGCCTGGGTGAGGGGCAGCGTGGTATCTTTGAGTTGACTTGACTAACCTTCCTCAGGTCCTTGAAAACTGGTCTGACACTTCTGTGTAAAGTGAATGAACTGGACTAGCTCGTCTCCAGAGCCCTTCCGGTCCTTTCTAACACCTGTGGTCCTAAGTTTAGAAACAAAAGTTACGATGTTCCAGGTAACAGTAGTTTTGTAAGCATTTTTATAGGCACCAGGGCAGCTTACAGGAGAGACCTCCAAATAAACGATGACTCGCTGTTTAACCAAATAAATTTTCTTCATGCAAAGAATCACTTTTTCCACTTTGGGTCAACCACAGGATTAAATGTTTCTTATTACATCATTTGAAAAAAAGTGCCAGGAGTTTTCGGTTCCAAATACTTACCTTTTTAAAATATTTAAAATGCAGTTCTAACAGATTGTTTCATTAATTATTCAAAGGAAAAAGATTAAGAATTACAATCATATACCTTACAAAAATAACCCCGTAAAACAATCTCATTTTCATTTTTCACATTAGCTCTCTTACTTGCTGTATCCTACTTTTCACTCTTAGCCAGAAAAATTGTTCTCAGCTAATCCACTTAGGCTGTATTAACATGCAGGAGTTACAGAGCCATTTCCTTTCCGTGTGGAGTAATTAGAAAGACATTGGCTAGAACAGTGATTTATGACTCAAAGGAAAATTCAGGCGGTTAGAGAGGTCATTCTTAAACACTGGTAATTATGGGGTACTATGTGAATTAATGTTACTCTACATGACAAGAGATGAGCAAGATAACCGTGAACATCAGGACAAGCAGGGGAGGCTCTCCTTTGGGACACATGGAGCTATGGAAATGAGGACTGAAATAAGGAGTAAGAAGCAAGTGGTTCACAAAGGACACGATATGAAACACTCTGTGGTCTTCGTTTGAAGTCTTTTTGTTTCTGTTTATCCCTTGTGGAAATGACAATTTCTTCAACACACATTCTTTTGAATTACTGACTACCAAAAATTGTGGTGGACAGAAATGTGTTAACTCGTCAGGAAGCAGACCATGTCTTCGGGAGTTAACTAGTTAGTTTAAAAGCTTTTTTTGTTTTATCTTTCTGATTATGTATTCATCGATCACTACTTAGACAAATGACTGTTTTAGAAATATAAAATCAAAGTGCAAGACTACATAATGAAATTCATATTTTCCTTCTCATAATGACCCTAATATTCCTGCTAGTAATGTCCCTATTATTCCTGATCTTTTGCATTTGAATTAATGAATTCACTGCCACTGCTCTGCATAAGTCCCCAGGAACTAATAGAAACATTACAGACTACCTAATATGATATACAAGTTTGCTGGCTTTGCCAAAGAATACTGAACTGTTTTTAAAAAACTTTTTTCATTTTGGCTTCTTAAGATTAGTCCATTATTTCAGATCTTCAAAAGAGACATGGCTATGTAAGCTCTAGTATAAGTGTCAGCATGTATCTCTTTTGTTGGAAAGAGAGCTGGAATCCAGTTTAGTGATAACACTTGCACAGAACCTGGCGGATTAGTTCAGCTGTATAGGGAGTTGAAAGCCTGCCGGGGCTGGATGAGACCTTGTCTCAGACACAAAGAGGGAATTTATAGACAAATGGAGAACACCAGCATATCAAAGTGCACCTAGACTATACCATCTTTAGCTGACGGGTATCCACAAGCGAGTTTCTGAATGCCCTATTCACTAAGAAGCACAGTGATGGAGCAGAAAGTTATTAGAGTAAAAGAAATCCATTGCTTTTTTATGTATTAAGTATTAAAATGGTCCCTTTCTTTCTTTTGCAGACTAATGACACGGGAGAGACCAGCATGCTGAAGAGACCTGTGCTCTTTTTGCAGCACACGGTCCACGTTGACGCATTTGACTGTCCCTCGGAGCTTCGGCACACGCAGGAGTTCTTCCCACACTGGCGCTTGCCATTCAAAATCGCTGCCATTGTCTCGTCGCTGACCTTCCTGTACACTGTTCTGAGGGAAGTCATTTACCCTCTAGTAACTTCCCGTGAACAGTATTTTTATAAAATCCCAATCCTGGTCATCAACAAAGTCTTGCCGATGGTCTCCATCACCCTCTTGGCACTGGTTTATTTACCAGGAGTGATAGCAGCCATTGTGCAGCTTCGCAATGGAACCAAGTACAAGAAATTCCCACCGTGGCTAGACAGGTGGATGCTGGCCAGGAAGCAGTTCGGGCTCCTCAGCTTCTTTTTCGCTGTGCTGCACGCAGTTTACAGTCTGTCTTACCCAATGAGGCGCTCTTACAGATACAAGCTGCTCAACTGGGCATACAAACAGGTAAAGTGATACCCCGCAAGAGTAATAAACTAAGAGGTCCAAATTACTTAACAAACTAGTAACACTTTCTTGTTGTAGTAACAGCAGTATCCCAGGCCCCTGTGGACACTGAGAAATTATTCTTCATTTTAAAAAATTGTTATTATAATTTCTTCAGCATCTGCCATCTTATATCGAGGAATATTTTTAAATTGAAAATAAATAACAACTTTAACATAAACATGTTTTGCATAGACAGGGTCATATTTCAATCTCAGCATCCGGACAGTGTGACCTTGTAAGGACTGATTGTTTTTAATCCTCAGCTTATTTACCAGAGTTCGCATGTACTTTACAGTTCTGTCGGGGTAAGCCATCAGATAAATTCACAGATCAGTAAGTTTGGCTGCATTCCTCTTTTTCTTAGGTTCAACAAAACAAAGCGGATGCCTGGATTGAGCATGATGTTTGGAGAATGGAGATTTATGTGTCCCTGGGGATCGTGGGCCTGGCCATCCTGGCTCTCCTGGCTGTGACATCCATCCCATCTGTAAGTGACTCGTTAACATGGAGAGAATTTCACTACATTCAGGTAAGTGATGTGTAAGAGTCATCCCAGTCTGCTTAGAATAGTAAAGATACTGCTTTATTCCATACAAATAATGCTTTCCAGTAGTAAAGATCCCATACTGTTCCCTTTAGTAATGTTGTCTTACTGTTTTCTACTGCTTCTGTAATATGTATTAGAATATAATATATATTCTGTAATATATTCTAGGATGAATTTTGTAGACATAAGTAAGAGATATTACTAAAATGAAAATATTGTTTCTCACATTTCAAACTTTTTAGACCATTTGCTGCTCCCATCCAATAATTATAAATATGATATTTTAGGAGTGTCAACAGTTTACCAGCTCCACTCCCATAAAAACATTATTTTTCTGTCCCTTGTCTTTAGTCATGCCTCATGCCTTTGAAGTTACACAGTTTTGTACTCTCTAGAAAAAAAAAAATCTTTCTCTGAAGTTCAAAGTTTTATTGACTGAAACTATTCTGATACCTAATTTTTTTTTTATAGAATTTCACACTTACACCCCAGGCTAGCCTGGAATTTATTATATAGCCCAGGCTAGCCTGGAACTTAAGGCAATCCTCCTCCTCCTCCTGTGTCAACCTCCAAGTACTGGGATTATAGCCATGAGCCACCACACCTGGTTCTGTTATCTAATTTTTACAGCTGCTTTTTCTAAGTTACAATTAAATTAGTTTAATCACTTGAACTTTCAAAACATTTCTGGAATTCAGAATCCTGTTGTGAACTCACATATCTTCTAGGTAGGAGTCCACATTTAAAAGAACAGCATACCAGAAAGGGTCTGTGTAACAAGAGCCAAGGAACTCAACTTCATTTAGTCATAAGTAACTGCCAAAAGATTTTAAAGTCCTAGTCTTAACTTGTATGGGTAGGTAGTTTTGGAAATTTCCATGCAGTGAGGCATTCTCCACATGTCTCTTCCACCATGTCTCTGGGAGAGACAGCAGGGCATTCTGATAAAGCTACAAAGTCTCTTTTATTCCAGCATGCCTTCGACTCTGTACCACATTCTCCCAGAAAAGTTTTTTCTGATTTTTGTGTTCAGCTGGTAGCCATTGAAGTCCTCTCTCCCTCATGAAATTCTTTCTTACACTGCTTTTCTGTCACATGTACTCGGGGCAGTACTTTCCAGTATTAATCTGAGGCTGGGCACTGCACCTTGACAAATCCACCCAGATATCTGTGCACCATGTGATCTGTAAGTAGATAATACCCATTTAGGAAAGTTAATCTTCACACCATCGAGAGCATTTTTCAGTTACTAACCTAGAAACTTCGCCTGGAGTGTGAGAATTGGTAACACTACAATTTTACCTCCACAATTCATATCCTAAAAATATAAACCTAGCTGTTTAATTGAGACATAAGATTACACCTAAGTAGTTGAGATATATTCATTTTGTCAGGCTAATGACCATTTCCAATAAAAGTCGTCTAGAAGAATCTGTCAGAATGCCTTAAAAGTATGTCGATGGACAACTCTGAACAGCTTTCTCTCTGTTTAATGTCAAAGTGTTTCAACAAGTTGAAATTGTTCTTCATATCTTCTAGATTTAGTTTGTTCAAACACTGAAATCATTCCCAATATTTCTTCCATTTTATCAGAATACATGATGTTTTAAAAAACATAGATAGCTATGAGTTCAAGGCCAACTTAATCTACATAGTGAGTTCCAGACTAGTGGGAACTACACAGTGAGACCCTGTCTCACGTACAGATCTGTGCTGATAGCAGTGCTGAAGAGGATGTGAGAAAAGGGAAGCCTCATTCACTGTTGATGGGATTACAAACTGGTACTGCCACTCCAGCTATCAATGTGGAGGATTCCAAAAAAAGCTAAAAATAAATCTAGCATTTGCCCCAGCTATACCACTCCTTGGTATACACAAAAAGGATTCAACTTTCTATCCATAGATGCATGCCCAGCCATCTTCTAGTGTCTGTTTTAAAGTACTTCTAGGCAGACCTTTAATCCCAGCTCTGGAGATGGAGGCAGGCAGATTTCTATGAGTTCCTGGCCAGCCTGGTCTACATAGTGAGTTCCAGAAAGCCAATGACACTGTGAGACCTTATCTCAAAAAAAAAAAAAAAAATTTTTTTTTTTTTTTTGGTAAAATAAAGTACTTGTAGCCAGTCCTGGCCAGTCAGTTCTCTTCTGCTAGCACCCAGACACGGGGGGAGCATCTTTACCAGCAAGCATTTCCTGAGATGGCTAAACAAATATTTTAACTGGCCTCAGATTTTCCTTACTACTTCTTCTAGCATCCTCTAGAACTTAAAATTGTGATACCAATAGACCTTCTCTAATGTGATAGACCAGTGATTTTATATCTTTTTTTTTTCAGCACTGGACATCAGGAAAAAAAATAGAAAAAAAGTGGTTGATTTGGGGGACTTGTATCAAATTTCAGTATGACTTTATTCTATGTGAAGGGAGAAATCTGTAACAGCTTCTTCTACCTCCCTTAAAATCTTTTGCTTGGCATTAAAAAATGATTCATTGGAAAACTGTACACACACACACACACACACACACACACACACACACACATAAAGTCCATTTTCATGTTCATTTAGAAAATCAGGATAACATCAGTTGATAAAGATCACTAAGGTCAGAATGGTTTTTTTACAGTATTCTTTGGACAATTCATCAATATTCATTGAACACCTAACATGTTCAAATCATTGTATTGTTTCTGCCAGGACCCTGCTATAAGACAGTGTCATTTTAGATATTGCCTGATAGGCAAAGTTAAAATAAAATCAATAAGACAAAATATCATAATGCAAATATCATAACGAGTCTGAGGATGTTGAGTAGAGTGCTTAGCTCACATGCACAAGGCCCTGGTTTTGATCCCCATCACTGCCAATAAAACAAAAACGTTTTAAGAAAGTTGTCTTAAACAGAATGGCAGAGAAAGTGCGTTTGGGCTGTTGACCACTTACTAAAAGAAAAGGCAATGACTTTTCAACTTACCTTAGAAACAAGAACAATTACCCAAAAGTAATGTGCTGAGGACAATGTATAAAAAGAAAAGGAAGGTGTGAATGGACCTTGTAGAAAAACAGGTTGGGAAAATAACTGTAGATAAATGAAAGGATTTCCAAGCAACAGGACAAGCCCACTGGGGTAGGGTGGAAATGACTATTATTGAATCAATGTTTACTGAGGGTCATAATGTTTTTTCTTTTGCAGAGCAAACTAGGAATTGTTTCTCTTCTTCTGGGCACAGTGCACGCTTTGATTTTTGCCTGGAATAAATGGGTAGATGTCAATCAGTTTGTATGGTGCACGCCTCCGACGTTTATGATAGCTGTTCTCCTTCCAACTGTTGTCCTGATGTGTAAAGTCATTCTGTGCTTGCCCTGCTTGAGGAGGAAGATACTGAAGATTAGATGTGGTTGGGAAGATGCCAGCAAAATAAACAGGACGGAGATGGCCTCCAGGCTGTAGGATTATTCAATAGTGATGTTTTATTATAAACATCTCAAGTTTGTGTTTGCTAATAAAATGAATACTTCAGGATCGTGTTTTAGTTTGTATTACCACTATTTATTTATTTGGTGTGTATGTGTGTGAGCACAGGAGTGCTACAGCACACATGTGGAGGTCAGCAGGACAAACTGTGGGAATCAGTTCTAACACAGGTGAGGCCAGGAATCGAACCCAGGTTGTCGGGCTTGTCGGCAGGCACTTTCTCCTGTTGAGCCATCTCACTCTCACTGCCCTGCTTCAGGGTCTTATCTGTGCATGGGCGATGCATTTGGAGTTTGTGCATTTCCTGACAGACTGGATTCAAAACAATTAGAACCCGTCTTTAGCACATTCTCTGTATGTAATAGGGCTAGGCATAACCAAATTATCAGATTTATCAGAACACATACATTGCAAATTTAAAAATGCCTTGAAAAACCAGTCTTTACCATCTGCTTTCAGATTTACTTTGTAACATGTATGAGTGTTTGTCTATATGTATGTGCATATATATGTGTGTGTGTGTGTGTGTGTGTGTGTGTGTGTGTGTGTGTGTGTGTGTGCACGTACATATCTTGTACCCTCAGAGGCCAGAAGAACAAGTTGGATTCCCTAGAACTGGAGTTAAGAGGTAGTTCTTAGCCACAGTGTGAATGCTCAGAACTGACCCCAAATCTTCTGCAAAAGCAAGTGTTTTAACTGCTAAGCTAAATCTAACAATTTGGTATTTTAATGATTGCATATTTATGGAATACAGAAGAATATCCCAGTACATGTTGACAATGACTAATGGTCAAATCAATGCAGTTAACATGTAATAGTTGTATATACCTATGATGTACATTATGATTACTGTTAAAGAACTTTATTTTGATGTAATCAGATTTTATTCATGAAATACTTTATTTAACAACAGAGATGTGTCTACAGAAATAGAGCAACAGAATAGTGTCACACACACATCCAAACCAAGCAAAACTCCGTCATCCAGGAGAAAAAGTAAATTCCATCGTTTCTACCTGAGTTGTGGGCAGGTCAGTAGAACTTACTTTTGTACTTTGTCAAAAAGTACTCCAAGAGTGAGTTCCTGAAGAGCAAAGTGATCAGCTCCAAGTCCTCTAACCCACCTCAACACTGGGAGATTTTTAGAATTAGAAAATGTCACTGCCTTTATCTTTTATGCACATTTATTAGGATTACAGACAATAGAGCTTTGCTGGTAGTGAAAATTAGAAAAAAAAAACTAGTACATTCATTGGCTGGATTCTAGGTGTCTTTTAAATATTTTCTTCTTTTACAAAGATTTTTTCTTTAGTGATGGAAAGTGAGTAAGGAGCCTTCTACATATGAATCTAAATTCAGTGAACTTGAGCTCCAAAATAGACATGTTTGGAGGTATAAATGTTAAAGCAGCACCATTATGACATTGGGCAGTGATTCATCACGGGAGGAAAGAACTGAGGAGCCTGGAATTACAAACAGGTTCAGCAAGGAGATGCACATATGGGACTACTTATCTGTGTGGCATATGTCCTACCACAGTCAACCAACCAAGGTCGGTGGTGCCTGCAGCCCCATGGGCACAGCAATGTCATGACCCTTAGCACCTAGAAGCAGCAGCTGAGCCCCATTCAACCATCATCGAGGATTCAGCTCGGAGACGGTTACAATCAGTGGGACCACAGTGAGGCCAGCAAGGGCAACAGCTTAGTTCCAGCTGGTTTGGTTTTAAAATTCCGGCTCTGTAACAGACAGTGATGAGACTACTCGGAAACACCAAATACCTACCCCTGGATTTTTTTTTAAGCCTGGGTCTCACTATGTAGACCAGGCTGTCTTTGACTTGACAGAGTTCCCCTGCCTCTACCTCTCATATCTTGGATTAATGGATAATGTCACCACACCAGTTCAGGAATTCTTGTGATAGGAAAAGGGGAGGCTGCAACAGCCTCAGATTTAGATGTGAGTCATAGCACATCTATATTCCATTTGTAGCTCTTCTGAGCCTTTTTTTTTTTTAACAGTGATTAAGCAGTATTGTTATGAGCAAAAGAAACAGTAAACGTTGTCTTTTAAAATAATATTGGTGAGCTGACCCTGAGAACGTGAGCATGGGAGATCTGGCCCCGCTCATCTGCCGTAGGGTAACAGGGGCAAGGGAGAGATATTCACCCCTACCCTCACCACCTCTGGCAGGAGGGAGAAATGGCCCTGAGGTCATGAGAGCAGGAAAGCTGTCCCTGCCCCTCACTGGCTACAGCACTTAGGAGAGCAGGCCCTGCACCTCACCTGGGCGGCACAGTAGAAATGACTCTGGAGGAGGTGGGTGTGAAGGTAGTGGGAGGGTTGTGATTTGGCCCCACTACTCATCTGTCGTGCAGTGGCATGGATGAGGGAGAGATGCACCTCCCTGCCCCTCGCCTCTTGCCAGCAGGAGAGTTGGCCCTTGGGTCATGAGAGTGGAAGAGCTGCTGCCTCTGCCCCTCACTAGCTGCAGCACTTGGAAGAGTGGCCCCTGCACCTCACCTGGACAACACAGCAGAGCTGGCTCTGGTGGTGTAGGTGTGGGTGAGCTGGCCCTGAGGGCATGAAAGCAGGAGAACCAGCCCCACCCCTTGCTCCTTGCTTCCTAGGGTGAACTAGCCAGGACAGTGTTGGAGAGCTCACCCTGGTGGTGAGAATTGGGGAGAACTGGAGGGCTGACCAACCCTGCAAATAGGTCCAGAACCAGGGTTATGAGTTGGCCCACCCCAACATCCACCCCATCTATGATCTACTGGAGCATGTGAAGGGTCTGGTCCTGCGGACCCAAAGCTGCAGGATCTCCACAACACAAGGAAACAACAGGATATCCGAGGAGTCCCATTGAGGACCCAGTATGGATAGTGTAGGAGAAACAAGAAGCCTTGAATCAGACCAATGATTCTTTGTAATGAACACTTGCAAGTAAAGGTATATGAATAAAAGGGTTTCCTGCGTGACTCACTGTGTCACACTGCAGCTTCTATGACAAGATTTTTCTTCTTTTAATATTTTTCTCTTTTTTTTCCTCTTACCTTTTATGTTATTTGGGAGTATGCAAGGTCAAAGGGCAGATATGAAGTGACGGGGGTGGTGTGGGGGGGAGTGTGAATAAGATATAGGTGCATGATGTGAAAACCACAAAGAATAAATAAAAAGTTTAAAAAAAGTACTATTGGGGCTGGGCAGATGTCTCAGTTGGTGAGGTGCTTGCTGCAAAGCACATGGACCTGAGTTTGCATCCCCAGCACCCATGTAAAAAACCAGGTGCAACATGCACCACCACCACCACCCTGTAATCCTAGTGCTGAGGACTTGTAAACAGAAGGATCCCTGGGGCTTGATGGCCACCTAGACCAGCAAAATCCACAAGCTCTGGGTTCAGTGAGAAACCCTGTTTCAAAAAATAAGATGGAGAGCAGCTGAGAAAGACACACACACACACACACACACACACACACACACACACACACACACACTCAAAATTGTTTTCCAACAAAGAGATATCATGTCTTGGTGTAGTCTTGAGTTTTCTTTTCCTCAGTAATCATTCACATAACACTTTGCTTATAGCAAGCCAGGAGCAGTAAAGAATGTACAAAACAGAAAAGAACAAATTCCTACTAAGTCTCAGAAGGCCAACCAGTTTTAGTAGATCACTGGATTCTGAATGTACTGTTATCACTAAAGAAGGAATGACTGTTTAAAAAGGCCAAGTCTTATTACCGTGTCCTTTGCCTTATAGAAGCTTCCCAGTTTAAGGAGGTCCCATTTATTAATTGTTATTCTCAGTGTCTGTGCTACTGGTGTTATATTTAGGAAATGGTAACACCAGAAGTACAGACATTGAGAGCAATAATTAACAAACAGGACCTCCTGAAACTGAGACATTTCTGTAAGACAAAGGACATGGTCATACAACAAAGCAGCGGCCTACAGAATGGGGAAAAACCTTCACCAACCCCAGGGCTGATTTCCAAAATATATAAAGAACTCAAGAAACTAGACATCAAAATACCTAACAATCCAATTAAAAAATGGACTACAGAATTCTCAACAGAAGAATCTCAAATGGCCGAAAGACATGTAAGGAATTGCTCAACATCCTTAATCATCAGGAAAATATAATCAAAACGACTCTGAGATACCATCTTACACCTGTCAGAATGGATAAGATCAACAACACTGATGACAGCTTACGTTGGAGAGGATGTGGAGCAAGGCGAACAGTCCTCCACTGTTGGCGGGAATACAAACTTGTACAGCCACTTTGGAAATCAGTATGGCTACTTCTCAGAAAATTGGAAATCAGTCTACCTCAAGACCCAATGATACCATTCTTGGGCATATACCCAAGGAATGCTCTATCATACCACAAAGACACTTGCTTAACTATGTTCATAGCAGCATTATTCATAATAGCCAGAACTTGGAAACAACCTAGATGCCTCTCAACCAACGAATGGTTAAAGAAAATGTGGTACATATACACACTGGAGTATTACTCAGCTGTAAAAAATAATGGCATCATGAAATTTACAGGCAAATGGATGAAACTAGAAAATATCATCCTGAGTGAGGTAACCCAGACTCAGAAAGACAAACATGGTATGTACTAACTCATAAGTAGATAATTAGATGTAAAGCAACGAATAATCAGACTACAACCCACAGCTGCAGAGAAGCTAGGAAACAAGGAAGACCCTAAGAGGGATGCATGTATCACTTTGGGAAGGGGAAACAGATGAGATCTCCATGAGTAAATTGGGAATAGTCGGGGGCGGGGGCAATGGAGGGTAGGGAGTGGAGGATGAGAATATGAGGGAAAGGAATGGTCGAGCTAGGGGAAGGACAGAGTTGGGAGAGCAATGGAAGAGATACCTTGATAGAGGGAGACATTATGGGGTAAGGGAGAAACCTGGTGCTAGGGAAATTCCCAGGAATCCACAAGGATGACCCCAGATTAGACTCGTAGCAATAGTGGAAAGGGTGCCTAAACTGGCCTACCCTGGTAATCAGCTTGGTGAACACCCTA